GGAACCCCTCAGGAGCTAAGGCACCTTGTCCTTCCCCAAAGCTCTTGTGCTGCTGCTGTAAGACATGTTCTTCCTTCCTTTGGCTTTTATGCTGTTGTCACCAAGGGTGCCCCTTAGTCCTCATTCTCCATGTGCTGTCCTGTGCTGTCACACAGTGCCCTGAGGTGTGGTGTCTGAGGGCCTGTGCTGGCTTCAGTGCAGTGCTGGGGCTGCGGGATCTCTGCTGAGCTGGATCTCCGAACCGTGAGCAGGAGGGTTCCCTGTGCTGGGCGTGGGCTCTTCCCTCCAGGTTACGGCAGATCCTCCCACCCCACAGCTCTGGGCCCTGCTTCCTCAGAAGTCTCGGATGCTTTTTGGGAAGTCAGTGTTGGGTGCTCTGCCTGCCAGAGCATTTGGGCTCTTTGAATTTTAGGTGGTCGTGGGTGGCTCCTGCTAGTCAGGGTCTCACCTTTTTCCTGCACGTAACAACTCAAATCCCTCGTTCACTTTAGCGATTGGCAGCGTGTGTGTGATCAGCAAGTCCAAGTTGAATTTCTTCTCCATGTAGCTGGAAACTAGTTTGGGGATAGAATCTCTTGCCTTCCAACCTAGAAATGGGAGAAAGCACCCAGAGTGAGTAACCAGAGAAAAGCTGTTTTGGTAAGGTAGTGTGGCCATGGGGGTCAGGACTGAGCGACCAGTACTGGTGCCTTTATCTTAGGAGAAACACACTTTAGTTGTGTTTTTCTTGCAAACCCTCTCAAAGAGGCTTTGTGGGACATTGCCAAGCTTGAAATATTCTTTGTGACCAAGAGCTTAGTGAATAACGACTATGAGGGAAAGTGTCTCTTGTCCTACAGCTGAGGACATTGTTCAGATGGGAAAACCCATTTTCAAGGGGAGAGTTTTTCATATGTCCTGAAGGTTATTTGTTCCACAGACACACTAGTGACAACCAACATGGAGAAGGCTGAGGTACTCGACCATTTTTTGCCCCAGTTTTCAGTGGTGATCTCTCTTCCCACATCTCTCAAGTGGGAAAGGACTGTGGGAACAAAGTCTCTCTCATTGGAAGTGAAGATCTGATTCAAGACCACCTCAGGAACCTGAACATACATAAGTCCATGGGACCCGGTGAGCCACATCCTGCAGTCCTGAGACTGATGTAATTGCCACAGCATTCTTCATCACATTTAAAAAGTTGTGCAGTCAGGCAAAGCCGACAGTGACTGCACAAAGGGAAACTTCATAGCCATTTTAAAAAATTATGAAAGAAGGACCCTGGCAACTACTGACTAGTCATCCTTGCCTCTGTGCCTGGTAAGATCAAGGAACAGATCCTCATGGAAGATGTGTCAAAACATGTGGAAACAGGGAGGTGACATGGCTCACCAAGGGCAAATCATGCCTGACTAACTTAGCAGCCTTCTACAATGGAGTGACTGCATTAGTGGACAAGGGAAAAGCTATAGATGTCATTTACCTGGACTTCTGTAAGGACTTTGATATGGTTCCCTCACAACATTCTTGTTACTAATTTGGAGATACGGGTTTGACGGGTGGACTGACATATGGATACAGAATTGGCTGGATGGCCCCATCTGAAGAGTCAATGGCTCAATGTCCAAGGGGAAACAAGTAATGAGTGGTGTTCCTCAGGGTTCTATACTGGGACCAATACTGTTTAATATCTTCATCAGTGACATGGGCAGAGGGGTTAAGCGCACCCTCAGCAAGGTTACAGATTACACCAAGCTGAGTGATGCGGTTGAGGAAAGGGATGACATCCAGAGGGACCTTGGCAGGCTTGAGGATTGGGCCTATGGGAACCTCATAAAGTTGCCCCTGCGCACAGTAGAAGGGTTTGACTAGATGACCTTCAAAAGTCCTTTCCAACCCAAACCATTCTGTGATTCTATGATTTGGAAAATGCCATGAAAGGAAAAGAAGAAAATGTCTGTAAACTTTTCGTAAGTTTCATACCTCCAAGCAGAGTCCCCTTCCACGTACGCCCGGACAGCACAAGCATAGGATCAATGGGAATCACTGAACCAGAAGCTGGTAGCCCGACCATCACACAGACACCAGTGTTCATATTGCAGGCAGCCAGGGCAGCAATCTGATGGGACAGGCAGGTGAATTAGAGAGCGCGCTGATGAGTTTGTCAGAAAAGCGTTCCTTCTGGGCAGCCATCTCCCCCTCCCTGGCAGTCTGAAAGCACACGCTCCCTGTGCGGCAGACACGGGAGAGCTCGGCGCCTCTTCTGAAACTCACACGTGTTCTGGCAGAGCCAACGGACTGTCTTTCTGAGCAGAGATGTGCCCAGCAGTGCAGGCAGCAGGCAAGGAACTGCCCGCCGGGGTGAATTTTGCCGTGACGGGAGCCTGTGAATGAGGTGAGAGGGAGGACACGTGCTGAAACGCCACCTACCATGGTATCCGCATGCCCGATGGCCTCAAAGGAGTAGTCCACGCCATGGCCAGTCATCTCAGTGAGCACGTCCTGGACGGGCTTCTTGAAGTCTCGAGGGCTGATGCAGTCGGTGGCTCCCAGCTCCTTGGCCTTG